TCTGAGGGTGACGGAGCACTGGAACAGGCTGCCCAGGGAGGTTGTGGAGTCTCCTTCTCTGGAGATATTCAAGACCTGCCAGGACGCGGTCCTGTGCAGCCTGCTGTAGGTGACCCTGCTTCGGTGGGGGGGTTGGACGAGATGACCCACAGAGGTCACTTCCAACCCCGAACATTCTGTGATTCTGTGAATCTGTTCCAGTGCCTCACCACCCTTACAGTAAAGAATTTCTTTCTTATATCTAATCTAAATATCTCCTCTTTCAGTTTAAAGCCATTACCCCTTGTCCTATCATTTCATGCCCTTGTCAAAAGTCCCTCTCCAGCTTTCTTGCAGGCCCCTTTAGGTACTGGAAGGCAGCTCTAAGGTCTCCCAGGAGCCTTCTCTTCTCCAGGCTGAACAGCCCCAACTCTCCACAGAATTTCACCACACTGCTCCTTGATGCAATGGTACAATGCCATGCATTGTTTTGCTCAGGCACATCTACACTTCTGACTGCAGGGTTGTGTATGGTTGATATGCTGGCAGAAGATAAATACCAACAGACTTACAATATTAGTGCAGATATCCCTGTGGCATGATGTCTAGTAAGCAGAGCAAAATTGTGCTACTTCCCAGAGTAATCCCACTGAGGTATTTTTATTTTTTTTTAGCCTTGATTCACACCAGGGAAGTGGAACAGCAATTTGGTGCACAGAATATTGAACAACATCGGATGGTGGTTTTACCCATCTTCTGAGTGAAAATAACAAGAGCTGTGTGGTCTGCCTTGCCTGGGAGCTGTGTAGGAAATGGTGTGGATCTGTATCTGGCACTGGAAATTTAAATTAAGTATGAATTGTTTGTTGTAGACTCTCTGCAGAAAATCGTAATATTGTGTAGAAATCACATATGTTTAGCTGTGCAGGTAGGACGATTGCACGTCTTTGTGTAATGCAGCCCAAAAGCATCTTCCATCCATGCTCTAGATTTTCCATCTCACATCAATGTTTTATGGAGGTTTATTAAGCAAGAATAACTTTTAGTCCAGAGTAAGCTCTTCCGGTGAGGTACAGTGGCTTTTCCACTCTCATATAAACTTCTTGCTCTGTTTTTTTTTTTCTCTTTTGCAGCTCCCAAAAAACCTCCTACCCAACCCCCAACTGACCCTGTGGTGAAAAATAAAACAGAAACCTCAGTGACGCTAGCATGGTCCCCTCCAAAGATGGACCGCCCCATTCCAATCGACGGCTACATTTTGGAACGCAAGAAACTAACTGGCTTTACCTGGATGAGGTGCCACGAGTCTCATGTCCCTATCCCAGAGTTCACGGTGAGCAACCTGTCGGAAGAGGCTGACTATCAGTTCAGAGTGTCTGCAGTCAACGCCTATGGACAGAGCCCCTACTTGGAGTTCCCAGGGAGCATGCACCTTGGTGAGCACAAAGCCATAGAACTGTAGAATCATAGAATGGTTTAGGTTGGAAGGGACCTTAGAGATCATCCAGTTCCAACATCCCCTGCCATGGGCAGGGACATCTTCCACTAGACCAGGTTGCTCAAAGCCCTGTCCAGCCTGGCCTTGAACACTGCCAGGGAGGGAGCAGTCGTCGTTTCTCTGGGCAACCTGTTCCAGTGCCTCACCACCCTCACAGTAATGAATTTCTTATATCTAACCTAAATCTGTTAAAGATTTTATTCTCACACGAGTGGATTACACTAGGTATTGCTTTATTCACAACTCAGAGTTGGGCCATCACCTCAGTGAGTGTCAAAGCTTAACTTGCTAGACCAGTTTATATACATTTATTAAACCGATTACATCAAGTCTAGAATCTTCATAAGTTTCTAAGCAATCGTTCCATTCCATTAAGTACATCATTTATTAAGTCCTTTCTATTCTTCTGTCTTCGTAGAATTCTCCCTTGCTGGTTTCAGGCCTTGCTTGGTTTCAGGGTCGTCTTGGAGTCGTTGTCTGTCCTTCATCTTCTTTTGTGAACTCTGTTTGATACAATCCAAACAGTTGGTTTCTATCCCAATTGCAACACACCGATTGTATGGTTTCTTAACACAGCTGTGTTTACACAATTGAATCTATGTTCTAGTTCTATGATTTTATTCTATTCTATAATCAATCTTTATAATTGGTCTCTAGCATTCCCTCCTTTTGGCTGAACAACCCCAACTCTCTCAGCCTTTCCTCCCATCAGAGGGGTTCCAGCCTTCGGATCATTTTTGTGCCCTCCTCTGACCCTGCTCCGACAGGTCTGTGTCTCTCCTGTGCTGAGGGCTCCAGAGCTGGATGCAGGACTCCCAGGGGGGTCTCAGCAGCGTGGGACAAAGGGGCAGAATCCCCTCCCTCGCCTGGCTGGCCATGCTGCTGTTGATGCAGCCCAGGATACGGTTGGCCTTCCGGGCTGCCAGTGCGCATTGCCAGGTCATGTTGAGCCTCTCATCAACCAGCACCCCAAGTCCTTTTCCTCAGGGCTGCTCTCAATCCGTTCTCCACCCAGCCTGTGTTTGTGCTTGGGATTGCTCCAACCCATGTGCAGGACCTTGCACTTGGCCGTGTTGAACTTCATGAGGTTCGCACAGGCCCAGTTCCTGAGCTTGTCCAGGTCCCTCTGAATGGCATCCCTTCCCTCCAGCATGTCAACCACACCACACAGCTTGGTGTCATCAGCAAACATGCTGAGGGTGCACTCAATGACTGTCCATGTTGCCGACAAAGATGTTAAACAGCAGACCATCATAAAATGAGTCAATCTGTGCTGATCTGCCACATGGGTGCGTTAAAGTTGTTTCCCATGACTCTGAGGAGGATAGAGCCGTTGCACAGCAAAACCTTTTTCTCTTCATTGATGATGGTTGGGTTGATGTGGTAGAGCTGTGAGTATGCTTATCTTCTAGTATCTCGTATCAGGCTGTATGAGAGGCAGAGCTCTCTGCAATGGGCCTTAAACCAGTAAGCGCTTCTTCTAGACCTGGTACGAAAGGAAAAATTGAGGCCAGCTTACAATGTAATTTTCAGTATATAAATGAGATATCAAACTTGCACGTAGAGAAAATTTGTGGATGATCATACTGTCATGAAAACCAAGTTCCAGTCAGTCTGTCTTTAATCTTAGAGTTACTAGGAGAAATATGGGGATTTTACTTTATTTTTAGATGCCAGTGTGCCCATAGAATCATAATGAGCAATGGGATTTCTTCTTTCTTTGGTTCGTTGGTGGTTCCAGCTTGTTATGACTTTAAAC